TTTATGCTGTCCTTTTCCTGCGTGTCTCTAAGATCCAAATGATCAAAGTGACCAGAATATTTGGGCAGTATAGGAAATGCTTACTGGAATTTGAATTACAAGTTCCTTTTATTGGTCACATAATGTTGGGTAACTCATTTGGCTTTTAGAATAAATATCTTGTAAGTCTGTTGAAAAAATAGTACATCTGAATTGCTTTTTGCAAATGTTGGAAAATGCATACAAATAGAAGGAAGATATTATGTGAACAATTTGAACTAAAATCAATGATTGCCACATCCTTAAGGTGGTTATCATAAAAAACGTAAGTGCTGAAGAGGGTGCACACACTGGAACACACTGCTAGTAGAAACGTAAATGTTACCAGCACTTTGGAAACTGTCTGACAGGCTGTGAAAAAGTTAAACATAAGTTGAACACATCACCCAGCAGTTCTGCTCCTGAGCATATGCCTCAGAGACAAGAGCACACGCATCCACACAAAGTCTTGTACATGAACAATTACAACATTATTCACCATAGCTAAAGGGTAGAAAACCATACAAATGTTCATTAGCTGATGAACAGGTAAACAAAATATGGTGCGTCACATACAAAAGGACCGTGTTTGAAAATAGCAAAGAAATGAGGCACTGATGCACGCCACCATATGATTATGACCCGAAAACATTATGTTAGCTAAGGGGAGCCAGTCACAAAAGATCACAGACTCCACTTGATCTTAGCCAAAAGGCTGAGAAGGGATAAAGATCACATATTGTACAATTCCATTTTTATGAAATGTCTGGCATAGGAGACTCTATAGAAACAGAAAGTAGGTTAGCGGCTGCCTGGAGCTGAGAATGGGGTGGGGAGACTGAAGAGGGCCTGCTAATGGATATTAGGTCTATTTTGGGGGTGATAAAAATGTAAGAAAATTGATTGTGGTGATGGCTGCAAAACTCTGTGAATATCCTACAAATCACTCAATTGAATCACACTTAAAAGTCAACCATTTCTAATTCCGGGAGCAAAACCAATGCATCACTAAATTGATTAACAAGAAAAAGAGAATTAAGTAATGATACAAAAATTATATGCTTAAATAAGGATATTGAATTATTTTTTAATTATTTTCCTAGGGTTAAGTTTTTGAACCTCCGGAGTTACTGGAACAGAAAGCTTTATGCAGCTTTTATGACGCACCAGGTAGTGTATTTCATAGACCAAGCGCTCTCTCTCACCTTCTCTGAGCCTCTGTCCCTTGAGGACGGTGATTCTTTCCGGTTGCCCCTTTAGATCTGCCTAACAAGACAAAACATGATGACCAGCTTAGCCCACGGGCATGTGCTGATTACTAATGATAAATATTGGTAGTTACAATTTTGTGGAGTGGCATACTATAATTAAGGTGTGTATATCAGTGCCTTCTGATGTTAATGTAAATCAGCCTTCTATAACCCAATCACCTTGGAGTACACTCATATGAACTGAATTCCTAGGTGTGCCATCTAACAAGTAACAGATAAATTCTGGAAGGTTTTGCTACTCCGGTCTGCCTTAGAGTGAACTTCTACACACAGTCCTTTAAGTATTCAACTCGCATCTGATTACAAATTGTTATTTGTAATGATCACTGCTGTTGAGTACCAAAGAAAGAATTTTCCCTTTACAGAATGAAAATATCAACTCTCCAGAAACAATGAAAATTCTGAACTCTTACAGTAAATTTTATTTTATGTTCTATAATAAATAGAATGATTCCTAATTTTTGGAGCATTAATGGATCCTCCATACCCTGATTTTTTAGTTGTTTTTTTTTTTTTTTTTTTTTACTTTTGTCAACTTAATTGATAGTAGCAAGAGCAATAACTAACAGTATGTGCTCATTTAGGGCTAGACAAATTGTTCAAGAACTAAAAATGTAATCAATACATAACAGCTTCACTTGTTTCTTGAAGTCAGGTTATTGAGGTAAAATTTGCAGATAGTAAAACTTACCCTTAAGTGCACAGTTTTTAAAATTTCTAGATATTGAGAATTGAATGCAGGGGATGCTGGGTTACATCCCTAGCCCTTTTTATTTTTATTTATTTATTTATTTATTTAGAGTCAGACTGTCACTAAACTGCCCAAGCTGGCCTGGAACTTGCTGTTTTAATCACTTTCTTTGTTGCTGAGACACAATACCTGAGACCTACAACTTAAAAGTGGAAGTCTATTTTGGTTCCTAATTATGATCCCTAGTGAGGTGGCTCCAAAGCAAAAAACGGCACGGTGGCAAGGTGGCGGGGGGCGGGGGGAGGCTACCCACACCAGGGCAGCCAGGAAGCCAAGGGAGAAGGGGGAGGAGGCCAGGAGGGAGATCTGCTCCTTCAGGTTATGCCCCTGGTGACCCGTCTCTAAGCTGGGCCCACCTGCACTAAATCAGCAGTAGCGCCTCCATAAAACATCACCTTCCACAGCTCTGTCTCTGAGTACCTGGGGCTTTGGGGACTTTTTAGACCAAACCATAACACCTGTGATCCTCCTGCCTCAGCCAAGTAGCTGGGATTACAGGTGTGCACCACCACGCCCAAACTTAAGTACAGAGTTCCTGTGTTTTGACAAATATAATCACCTGTAATCACTGCCCATTCAAAATATAGAATTTTTTGTCACTCTCAAAAGTTCATTTGTGACCCTTTGTGGTTAGTCTTCTGTCCCCACCTCTAGACTATGACATCATGGAACTGTTTTGGATCCTGACAGTTTTTGCCTTTTCCAAAATGATGATTAAATGGAATCATATAGTATGTAACCTTTTGAACTCAGTTTTTTTAATGGACCATAATGCTTTCCATTATGTTTATCCATGTTACTGGATGTGTCAATTTATTTCTTTTTATTGCTGAGTAGGATTTCATAGTGTAAATGTGTCCCATTTTATTTAGCCATTCAATACTTGTGGACATTTGGGAGTTATTTCTAGTTTTGGGGCAATAATAAAGAAAGATGCAAAAACTTGTGTGTAGGTTTTGAATGGTAGACTTATTCATTTCTTTTGGGTAAATATCTAAAGTGACACTCTCAAGTTCCCTGACAAAGAATTTTAAATATATTGTGGCACTGCTCACAAGCAATCATTTGTGGACAGTATCACTGTTAGTTTCTTTTAGAGATGAAAACTATGACCACTAGAGCTTATGTCACTGCTTAACATTACGTGGCCAGTGGGGACAAACCCAGGAATCCTACTGCAGAGCTGAGGTCCCAACTCTTTATTCTTCCATGGCTACAGCTAACTCAGCCCTAGCTAATGGACTCACGTTGGAAAGCAAAGTAAAACCTGTGACTCCATCGCAGGAGATACAGCACAATAAAGGCTTGATTTCCAAAAGAGACATAAATAGCTTAGAACATAACATGAAAATCTTTATAAAATTAATTTGACAAAATTGGAGTGAATCACAAAGAAGACAATGCAAGGCAATTAAAACCCATTTCAAAGATGAGTTCTGATCTTTACTTTTTTATCCAGCTCAAATAGTATAGGATCATGACAACCTCTATCATCGAAACAGTTCTGATAGATGTTTCCTCATAAGGCTCCTTTGCTGCTAATGCATACCAAATACCATGTTCCCACTAAACCCATCATAAACAATATAGCCCCTCAAACACATATGTACATTTGTAAATTTCTAATGCTCTTTTGTCACAATAATAATAGTAATAACTTTAATATATGAATAATTAACATCTTTAATAGTTGCATTTTCTATTCCAGAATATATTGCCTTGAATTCCAAAATGATATTCATAATATGAACAAAAGAGAAATTGTAGCAAAGATTAACCTCTAAAATATATTGTGGAGATTCTGGAGCACTTTCATAGAAGTGAAAATAATGGAAACTTGACAGTGAAGAATAAAAGTGGATCATGAATAGTTAATATCCAATTCTTCTGTGATGTGGGAATTAAAATTAAAAACTAAAAGTCATCCTAGTGACAATTTAAGACAAATTTGTCATCCCCCAGTGCCTAGTGCAAGGACTTGCATTTATTATGTACTGAATAAACATTTGCTGTGTTGAATTTAATTTTTCCAAGATAAATGTTTACAGCAATAGTAAAATAATTGTGGCAACTACTCTGTATAAATTCTATGGGTTTAACACTGATAAAGACAATGTATTTTTGTCTTCCTACAGAACTAAAAGCTTATGTAAATGGTACTATCATGGTAACCAGTTTCTTCAAGAAAATCCAAACTGAGAGGGCCTGTTGATGGCTGTGACATGCTCAGCTCTTGAACACTAGTGTATTCTTTCCTCATAGGCTTTGGGTGCTGAGGGCTGGAGTTACAGCTCAGTGGTAAATCATGTGCTCAGCATGTGCTAGGACCTGGGCTCAATTCCCAGAACTGAAAAAAAATTCTCATAAAGTTCTTTTGATGATAATTTACAGGAGACTCAAGCAGAATAAAAGCAAACACACACAAACAACAACAATAACAACAACAAATCCAGCACCTGGAATGTTCCACCTTGTAGGGCAGAGCTCACCTCCCAACCTGGAGATGCAAAGGCAGACAAAAACTTTCTCCTTCTTCTCCATAAGCTAGAGTAGTCTCTGCAAGCCAGGACATAGGCTCTGTCTCCAGGATGCACTGGGCTCTGTTTGAAATAGACTTTGATGACTTTGAAAAGGGAGAAGTCTACAGAACCTACGCTGGTAAGTCTAGGGCAGAGACTGGATAATATCCAGTTCCAGAAATTGCAATGGCTAAGTTCTAAAGGCTTCGGTGGCCTGAATTATTAGCAGTATATGTGCCAGTCTCTACATACATTGTTAGCAGCAGGGGTGTCTTCATGGGACAGATTTTATGGGTAATGTTGGATGTTGTTCAAGGATGCTTATCCTTTTAATCTGGAACTATTAATTGATAGGTGAGCCTTAATTGATAGGTGAGCATTTTCAAAAAAATAACTGGAAATAGCCAACACACACAAAATATTCTTGAAGAATAAAGTAAATTGAGGCATACTTTTAAAAGTTTAATTTTAAAGGGAATAAAACCATAAAATGAGTTGAAGCAGTGATAAGACAGTAAGAAATCTACATTAGTTACTATATTGCATATTGTTGTCCTCTAGATAATTGCTCGATTTTAGGCTTGCAAAATCAGTCAAACAGTTCAGTTCCTCCAAATCAACGGGTTTGGGGGAAGGAGTGGCTGTTCTCCCCTGCAGACCACAGCCCTCGTGGGCTTCTCAGGCAGGGGCTTAGCTTCCATCTTGGCTCTCCTCTGTCCATGCTCTTGCTGGCTCATAGGTAGGGCTTAGCTTCTTTCTTGATATACTGTTTATTTCTGAGGAACACAGGGTAAGGAGAGATAAGGATAGATGGAAAGTTGGGACTAGAATCAATGGGGAAGAAGAAAAAAATTAGTGTTGATAGTGCAAAAGAAACCAGGTGCTGTGATACACTCTAATCCCAGCACTCCAGCAGGGTGAGACAGGAGGATCGCAAGTCCAAACCCAACTGGGGCAGTTTAGTGATTTAGACAGAACTTGTCTCAAAAACAGAAAGACTGGGGTGTAGCTCAATGTCCTGGGTTCAATCCCCAGGTACCCCCATCCCAGTGTGCAATGGGTTCCTATTGGTTGTAAAATAAGGGTGAAGCATAGGTGGCTTCATGGACCTAAGGACAGCATTTTGCACAGCCTGTCTCCTGGGTCCTTACACTAACTCAACTGCATAGAAAAACAGAGGCAATGAGACTATTTCAAAGTTTTACTTTGCCTGGAAGTACACATTATTCCATTTTACAAAGGGAAAATACATTAATGTGAACTTGATGTGGAAATGTGTGGGTTGGCTCTCAGGATTCATTCTCTTTAGTCCCTTATACTGATTGGGTATTGCTCATCCCACAGCAGCTGTAGCCCCTAGACCTAGGGGCTGGGATAGCATTATGGTGGATCTCATGGAGTGGAGATGACTGACGGAGATCAGCTGAGGAAGAAAATTATCCTCGCTGTCACAAATGATATAAAAACATACTCTCTCCTCTTGGTTGTGAATAAAGAAGCAATAGCTGCTGTTGGTCTTGTGACCATGTTGCTATCTTGAAGCCTGACAGCTATAAGGCTCACCTGCTGCTGGAGAAGACTGAGTAGAGACACAGAAGGAAAGGGCGCCCTGGAGCATCACTGAACTGCTGGACCACGCTTTGCCCAAGTGTTCATTCAGGTCTCTCGCTGAGCAGAAAGCAGTAATGGGATTGCCAGAGTCCACATTTCATTGGTATCAGACCTGTGAAAGAGTAAGAGGAAGCTTAAGGGCAGGCTTTTAGACCGTGAGGCAGAACTGACACCCATGAAAACAAAGGCTAAAGAAGCAGGATTAGGCAGGGAGAGGCTCAGACTGCCGGAGTTTACAGTCTAGGCCAACCCCAAAGGGAGCTCCAGCTCCTGGAGCGCTACAGGCTGGAGGAGTCTTACACTGCGCAGAAATGCCCACATATTAGTATTCCAGCTGTGCTTGGTGACCGGGGCTAGGGATTTAGCTCAGCGGCATAAGCACCTGCCTTGCAAGTGTGTGGTCGTGAGTTTGATCCCCAGTACCGATTTAAAAAAAAATAAAAGAAAAAGACAGAAAGCCCCACTGTGACCCAGGTCAGTACTGTGGGGAATCTGAATGCCCAGAGGCTGGTGGCGGTCAGTTACCTGCATGCCTCACAGCTGGACAGTGCCTTCTTTTCTGAAGGAAGATCTAAGCGGTGCTCCTCTCCTACCCCTGGACTCCTTAAATTACTTGACCCACCAAGATCATTTATTATGATCAGTTTTGTGGTTACTACAATCATTAAAATAATTGGACTTCAGGTTTCTGTTACTTGTGATGGAAGGAATTTGACTAGTATCTGAAGTAATAATTTTAGATCTTTGTAAAGATTATTAATTCAGTTCAGCACACACTGAACAAGATGCTTCAGTTACATTATCTCTTATCTTAAAAAATAAACTCAGCATATATCACAGGACTGACATACATATAATTGGTACATTAGTGGTAGCTGTTATGATTTAGTTCCATTAAAGCACTTCAGCATTTATTAATTTTAGTGTCCATAAGGTACTGCGCTTTTTTTTTTTACACAGAAGTTAGTATTTATAGTTTGTATTAAAATTCAACTGATGAGAGATATAAATTTTATAACCTAATTTTATAAGCCTTTACTTTTTACTCACTAATCTTGTTAGTATGTTTATAAATCTAATAATTTTGTGTTACAATTTTAAAAACTTTATTTTTTATTTAATTAATGCTCAATTAGCTTATCAATTTGATGGATCAAATTCCTTAGTCATTAAAACTGTGTAGAAACTTTATTCACTAAATTTTCTTAGATATTTCAAACCATAATTACCAATTTAATAACTTAGTTCTTTCAAGTATTTCAAACACCAAATATTTCAAACTTATAAATCTAACATGCAAGATATTTGCAATCTTTATGAAACTCTCATAAATTTAATATCATACTTATAAATTTAATAAAGCAGATTCTCTTATCCATTTCAAGTATTTTAAAATAGAGCGTACATGAAGCAACATTAATTATAAAACAGTTTACGTAAAGACCAACTCTATTTAAATTTTTATCTTCCTGAGGTTGCATATCACTGCCCATCTTAGCGGAGCAGACTGCCATTGCAAACCTGCTGTAATTACTTGGTCAGGAACTTGGAACTGTATGAGAAGGTGGTTAACTCAGGTTATGATAAGGAGCATAGCCTAGGAACAGTACCTACATGCAATATAGGTACATGCAATATACTCAGAGAGCCAAATAGCAACCTCCTTTCATAACTGGGTTTTAGCCCTGTTATTCTTGGCAGACTCTTTGCTTGTAATTTTCAATTGGGGCCAAATTCATTTTCACAACTCAACATATCACGTGATTCTTTGTGTGTCTTTCAAGTTTTTCTGTTAACCAGATTTCAGCCCTGTAATACTTGATTTTCACTGACAGAATTCTAAATCTCTTGCCTAAATTGCAACGTATGTCTCTGTTGCCTGATTTGGCATAATTAATTTAACACCTTCTCTATGTTTTACTTTTTCATTCATCTGAGTTATATACCAAAGTAATTTTTTTGAGAAAGAAAATATGTCTGTTCTTAGAGAGTTTTCTTTTAGAATTAGCTAAGAAGTGTACATAAACCATCTATAAGAAAAGGCAAAAATGAAGACTATTATGAATTATTGTAAGCACATTTCTGTAAGATTATTATGGTGGTTAGAATTCTAAGATGGTTTCTAGGCATTTTGCTCCCTGGCGCTACTCAAAATTATATTACTTTCTCTGGATGTAAGTAAGGTTACTAATCAGTTTATCTTAATACAGGCCTGCCAAGACATCTGACTTATAGAATTGTGAGCTAGTAAGTGGAGATGGTTTTATATTGCTCATTTGTTCTAATTTTCAGGGCAGCAATAGAAAATAAATGCAATCACATAAGTACACTTTCTACTAATGCCTGCAAACTCAACTTCATTAAATGCTAAGAAACATATATACTTTTATGCATGAAAGTACCTTAAAGGTGGGAAATCTCAGATTCTAAAATCTAGGGCTTTCTGGATGAACTAGCTGATCAAACAGGAAAATCAAGACTTGGCTGATTTAGGAAGGGCTTAGGAATGTGTGAAGAAGGCCTCACTAGAGAAGTTTCCCTCTATAGACCTTGGTGGAAACGTCTATGCAGTTCTGTTTTTAGCGTGAAGCTTTAAGATGAGATGCATTCTAGATTGGGTAACACATTTGTTATTCTCCACGGAAAATGTTTTTAGATTAGATGATTTATCTGGTTGACAGACAGCAAGACTCTGAGAGGCCTGAATTCAGAGCAAGTAAAAGCAAATATGGAAAGATGGAAAAAGAAAAGGCAAAGACAACCAGGTGTTCTTTGGGAGGCAGTTCTAGGCGAGGAGTCTGCTGGAACCACATAGGTGAGAGGGATCAACACTACAGGGGAGGATCCACACAGGAACCAAGATAAACCAGACAGGAATGTGTGACCACACGCTCACTTTGTGCTTAGTGTTGAAAGAAACATGAGAACAAACCCCATCTGCCTTTTATTTTTCCCCATGAAAGCTCATGTACAAAGAAATGGAAAGAAAGTTCTAAAACAGCCACTTTTATGTTGTATATACTTCTCCTCTTTATCCTTTCTGAGAAGTAATAATGACCTACAATGCCTTTAACTCATAGGGCACTTTAACTTTTTCAAAGCACAGCCTGTACAACAATCTTTCATTTCCTGACTGGTCATGAAGATGAAGTTTATAGTCTTTTTACTGCTACTATTTTGACATTTTTATATACTTTTCCCTACACAGCATAGAATGTGTTACCCCTATAATTGCTTTTATATACTACTTGACTTAAAGATTGTTTCAAACCTTCTTGCTCCTAAATCATTTTTATTTTTAGGCAGTTAGAACAAAGGCTAGATGATTTTTAAAAAGTACCCCAGTTCTCAAGTTGAATTTATTGTTTTTTCTGCTTTCTTATGTTTGCCTATCTAAAATGATACCAATTTCAGAAATTTTAGAAAAAAAAAAAAGAAAATATGGTATTATTAAATTAACATTTGGGCCTTTGCCTTATTTATGCCTGATTGTTTATAAGTGTGTGCATATGTGTATGCATGTGTGTGTTAGCTTCCATATATAAAATTAAGATTTATATTGAAAAATACATCTGATGTTCTCATCACTGGTATTTATGAGTGATAGCAATTTACATCTGCGAGATGCGTTTTGTATACTAAGACCTTACAGAGTCTGTAACATGGCCAATTTTTACTTACAATCTAATTCATAGACATAATATTCTATGGTTTATCACTTTTAAGGATGAGAAAATACTTTTCCAAAATATTTTATCCCCCAACATTTTAAGTTTGTCACCTACTAAATTTCACTTCATAATTTGTTTTCTTAGACAGGGCCTCACTGTGCAGCCCAGGCTGGCCTCAAACTCATGAGCCTCCTGCTGCAGCTTCCCGGGGACTGGGATTACAGGTATGTACCTGGCTTATTTCAGAATTTTTAAAATTAAAATTTCTATCCATGTTTATTTTAATATTATTTTGTTATAAAAAAAAAAAACCCTAAGAGATAGCCGGGCATGGTAGCACACAGCTGTAATACCAGCACTTGGGAGGCTGAGACAGGATTCGATACCAGACTGATAAAGTAAGTTTAAGGTCATCCTGAACTGTATAGTGAGACCCTGTTTCAAAAACAAAAACAAAACAAAACCCTAAGAGATGGTTGTAACATACGATTTTCCTGATAGAAATTTAAGTCTCCAGACATCAGGTACGCAACATGTTGGTTTCTCAGCACACCGAAATGATTTCTCAGGTCCACAGTCTCTGCCTTTAGGGTTTCAAACTGAGAAAATCTTTGTACTCATTATATTGCTAAGGATTATGAACATACTCTTCTTACATACAGCTGTCTACTGAAATACAAGATACAGGGGGCTGGGGATTTAGCTCAGCGGCATAAGTGCCTGCCTTGTAAGCAGGCAGTCATGAGTTTGATCCCCGGTACCGATAAAAAGGAAAAAGACAAAACAACAACAACAACAACAAAAAAAAAAAAAAAAAAAAAAAAAACAAAAAACAAAAAAACAAGACAAGATACAGTTTAATAAACAAAACAAACCAAGTTCTTTACATATGTCAAAGAGGGAGGGGTCTGGGAGAGGAGGAAGAGTGGGCTCACCCTGGCACTGACTTTATTAAAGAGACTTGGACATCCTGTTTCTTTATGTTTCTGAACTTCCAGTTCCTCATTGGTAGCAATAATAACTGGTGTTGTTACTATAACAAGACAGCAATACAATCATTATATTTAGGAAAGACTTGAATCAAACATCTCATTCTCTATCTCTCGATCTGATAATGCAGACTGAGGGACAAATGTGTTTTGATCTAATTTGTTGTCCAAATGTCTTAAAATAAAGATTAATAGTAATTAGATCTGTAAGCACAAACAGGTTTGTGACCCACTTAAGTGGAGCAAAAGGAGGAAACCCATTTCAAATGTTATTGCTTATCACGGTATATTGATCTTTTATTTTTGAGTGGTGTATCGGTCAGTGTGCAATAGAGAAACAGATACAGTGTCAAGATATAGAAATATATAAGAATTTATAGGTTAGCTTATGATGATCATCTACAGAGTCAGGTGTGGAAGAGTGTGAGGGGTCTGTCTGTGCAATGGAGACCTGAAGGATCCAGTCAAAGTTCCGGAGCCTTGTGTAGGTTCTGGTGTGCGTCTGTATCAGGAGACCAAAGGGTCTGTGCTGGAAACCAAGAGATGACGTCCCAGGTGAAAGCAAAGCCTGGAGCTCCTCTGAAGGAGACAAGCAATCCTACCTTCTTAACTTTCCTTTTATAACATTCTGGCAACAATTCTCCCTAGGGTAGGTCTTACACACCTGCAACTATGCTGAGCCAATTTAGTTGGGTGTGTATTTACTCAGTTGACACAATCAGTCCACTGTCATTGGGGGACTGCTGGGAATTGAATCCAGGGCCTTGTATCAGGCAGGTACTTTACCAATGAGCTACACTTCTCTCTCCTCCTAGCTCTGAAGTTTTCTAAACCAGAAGTTAAACAGAACTTCTGGCCTATAATATCCATTGCTATTTTGAATGACTTGGGTGGTGAATAATAGGTGCCCAACCTAGCAATAACTTAATCAATAATTAACTGATTATTTTAGATATCACTGATTTGAAGGCAGATAGTTCCAAGTTTGATCTAGTGACTCAATCATACACCTTTCCATCCCTTCACATTATCATTAACATATCTCATTGTGCCCTCAATTTGTAAGGTGTAGGTCACAGGATTGCCACGTTATCTAGGTGTAAGTTCCCCAAACCAGCATTTTTATTTTTTTTATTTTTTTTATTATTATTTTTTTTTATTTAAAGAAAAGGAAACGAAAAAAAAATACATGGAGATTAAAGAATAAAAGGGTAGAAAAATAATACTAAATTACAGACAAACAAAAGGTAAGAAATTGCCAGTTGATAAGTTACAAATTGTCTTCTTCGAAATGGCTGTTTAGGTTATAGAATTAAAGTATTTAGAATGACATTCAAAAAAGTGACCCTACAAACCATTCTGCTCTATGGCCGAACAAAAGCTCCGTAATATGATTATCAGTCCCACCTATTTGTTTTACATCTCTAAGAGGATAAGGTTAACCATATCAAAACAGAACAGAACATTTAAAAAAAAAATAAAAAACAATTTAAAGAAATACAGATTTCAAAGCAAGTCCACTGGAGATCTACCTTATCTAACTGTCTCTAGCTTCTTACAGATAGTTGTCCCTAACTTCACCCACTTTCTATACTTATTGCATATTATAGAACTAATCAAATCATTACAGGATGATGGAGTCTTTTTAGGTCCTCAAGTTCCAAATTAGGGAAGACATTTCCAACTACCATCGCATCTCTCATTCTCTTTGTGATAGCCGTCCCCATCTCTGCATATGCTGAAGTTGAGCTGAAGAAACCAGTCCAGAGTCATTTTAATCAGCAGGCAATAGATTGCTAGAATTTATATTATAATGCTACAAAATAAGCCTCGGGTTTTTCAGGTCTCTTCCTCAGAGTATTTGTTCCTATCCTCTCTGTATTATAGGGGAAACCAATTCATAACAAGACAGCGAAACAATTTCCTAGATAAACATGCAATGGATAAGACTTACAAAACTATAATATAAATGATCTTCCGTAGCTACTATGTTTTCTCTTGTTATTTTCAATAGATTTGTCGACAACACTGGCTTATTATAGTTAAATATACTATCATCTATTTTTATAAAAACTTATCTTTGACTGCATTGTAGTATTTGAGAGCTGTTACTGATTCATACCAGTATGGATATCCTTTACATCCTGTCATGCTCAGAGTAGTTTCCTCTACTTTTAGGGTTGATTCTAACACGCATACGGATTTCAAATAGGATCAGTCAAGGCCAACCAATAGTCTTATGATTCAGATACAATTAAGATCAGTCATAGTAAGACAATGTAAGTAATACAGGATTTCAGCTTAAGTCAATAGGAAAGTAAGGATGGTTACCATGGTATAACCTGCTATTTTTGGTTCTAGAGGTCTGTGTCCTCAAATCTGATATGAGTGGACAGACCAGAACAAATTTAATTCAATCTAAATATGGCACTAGGACTACTGTGTCTTTTAAATCGTTATACACCATTAGCAATGACCTCTGCTTTTTTTTTTTTTTTTTAAATATAGTTTCAGAGCTGTCTCTACCAAAGACTAGCTTACCGTCTCTGCCTCATGTCTGCTACTCCACTTTTCTGCTATAATTTGTCCACCTTATTCCCTCATTCCATGGTCTGCCCCGTACACTGAGGCCTCTCTGCCACTGTAGCTGTAATCCTGATATCTCTTCCTCTCTTTCTCTGTAATGTCCTTCAGCGCTCTCTGTAGGGTTGGATTGGTGGCCACGAACTCCCACAGTTCCTCCTTGTCTTGAAAGTATCTTATTTCTTCATTAATTTTTAGGGAGAGTTTTGATGGATATATGAACTTAGGTTGCATATTTTTTTCCTTCAGGACTTGGAATATTTCTCCCCACTCCCTTCTTGACTTAAGAGTTTGTGTTGATAAGTCTGCCGTTATTTTGATAGATTTCCCGTTATAGGTAACCTGCATCTTTTCTCTGGCTGCTTTTAATATTCTGTTTTTTTGGTGGATTTCTGGGATCTCGATTATTATATGCCTAGGCGTAGATCTGTTTTGGTTGTAGGTAGCTGGCGTTCTGTATGCTTCTTTTATCTGGATATCATTTCTTTTTGCTATACATGGGAAATTTTGCTTTAATATCTCTGTGAATATTTTTTGTATTTCATTTTTGGATGTTCCTGCTTCCTCACTCACATTCTTTATTCTTAGGTTATGCATCTTTTTATCATCTTCCAGTTTTAGAATTGCTTCTTTCTGGTTCCTTGTTATTTTTAAGAGGCTTTTTCTTTCACGTTCATAAGCCCTAAATCTCTCTTCAAGTTTCAGAAGGTTGTCTTTAGTTTCTGTCAAGGCATTTTGCCAATATTCAATGGAGTTTTTAATTTCCTGATTTTCTCTTTGGATCTGTTTCATGTATTCTAAGTTATGCTTAAATTCTTCAGATGCTTCTCTTTCTTTCTGATTTCCTCAGTTCTTCCATCTGTGTTCTCTTGGGCAGGGCTTGTCATTTCTTTAATTAATCTCTTTATATCTTGCCTCACTTGGATCAGGAGTACATCTTTAAATTCCTCTATGAGATCGTGTAAATACTTTTTAATTTCGGCTGATGCTGAGTCGAGCAATGGATGGTTACTGTGCTTGTTCTCTTCAGTGTTTAGTTCTCTTGGGTTTAATTTCTCCTGTTGAACAGCTGGAGATTTTTTTTTATTTTTATCTCTTGTCATGTTTCTGGTTTCTTTCAGACTGTCCTGGAGTTCTCTGGCCCTCTCCGAATTGCTTAGGGCCTTTCAGAAGCGTGCCGGCTTGAGTTTTTGCTGTCCTCCCCAATTTGCTGTTATCTGGGGTAGGCTGGGATGCAGGGGCGGTACAGTCTAGTCTCTAGCCTCTGTGTCAGTTAGTTCATAAATTAGGCTGTACTTTCTGGTTGTCACTGAGTTGTGACCATTCTGCATCCGCCCATTGGGCCCCAAGCAGAGGCCTGATCTAGCCCCAACAGCTCCTGCCAGTTCTCCCTGAATCAGAAGCAGCTGGGTAATGGCACAGGATTCTGCCCAGGTCCCAGCCGTTCTCTTCCAAACCTCTCTGTGATAGGAGCTCTAGAAAAGCAGATCTGCCCAAAACCAAGATGGCTCCCACTAAGTTCTCTGTGCGGAGCTGAAGCCAGCAAGCAATCAGACTCTGCCAGGACTCAAGATGTCTTCCACCAGCCCTCCCTACAGGGGGTCCTGGTGATGTCACCAAGCTGCGATTTCTGCCGCCAGGCTAATATGTCTGCACCAGATTCTGTGTTATTGATTTCCCCGTGGTGGCGGGCCAGCTGTTCTCTGGCCAAACCCAGCCGCCGCGGGGTTTTCTATACTCACCAGAGTCCGGTGCAAGTCCTCGTTCCGGGACCGCCACACACCAAGCCGTCCACTTTTCCCCACCTCGCGGCTCAGCGCTGACTGGTCAGATTTCTGTGCACCGTTTAGATTCGAAACGCCAGAGCTCTGTACATCTGCTCTGGTGCAGCGGTGCAGAACTGGCTGCCGCCTGGAGTCTCGATCTGGGTCTCAGTTTCCGCAGTCCCCAAAAGCAACTCAGCTTTTCGTGTTGGGTCCACGAGTCTGTTCGTTGATTTAAGGGCGCGGGATTTGTAGCCTCCGGTCTCAGCACGACTTTAAATCCTCCAGCTGTACTGTCCCCTTCTCCTGCGCACGGGTCAGCTTCTTCTGCACATTGCTGGCGATCTTCCCCGCCGTCACCCCCTTGCTGCCCATTTCTGCCATCGCGGCCATGAATCAGTTTCTGATCAAAGCGCAGCCCGACGATCCCGAGTCGCAGATGGCCTGCCACGTTTTCCAAACCAGCATTTTTAAATGAGAAGTAATGTGCAGAAGCAGGTGACTTTTGTCCTTTATACTTCAGGGGTGGGAGCAGGGGAAGCTTTCTAGAAAACTTTTTTTTAAGGATCATTAACTAGGTTTGTGTTATTTGAATAGCCCTGCTTTTTTTTTTTTTTTTTTGGTACTAGGGATGGGACTCACAACCTCGCGCTTGCCAGGGAAGTGCTTACTCTGCTAAGCTAAATCTCCAGCCCTAACGTCCCTACCTTTTATGATTTATTTCTGGGTGCACCCCCAAAATTTCATGAGGTCATGGAAGTGGGCTTTTTTGGAGGTGGCTGGATCCAGTTTGTGATTGACACACGATCTAAGGCTGGGATGAAGGGTATGTGTGCTACATTCACTCTAGGTTGGGTAGACTGGATGCACTATAAGGGACAGAGAGAGTTCCCTCTGTCTCTCTCTCTCTCTTCCTCTCTCTCTCTCTCTCTTTCTTCCTCTCTCTCTCTCTTCCTGTCTCTCTTCCTCTCTCTCTCTCTCTCTCTCTCTTCCTCTCTCTCTCTCTTCCTCTCTCTCTCTCTCTCTGCTTTTGCTGTCTTCTTCCATCATGAAAGGTTGCCCCTCTGCCATGTGTCATCCTGCTTTGGAGTCAGTGGATTATGGACTAAAACTTCTACAAACTGTGAGCTAAATAGATTCCCTCAGGAATGTTGTCTCAACAATGAGATAAGTAACTAAGACTACATGAAAGAGAAACTAGGAAAAAAATAATCCTACTTTTCTAGCCTTTACAGTAGAAAATAGGTATAGGAAAATGGGAGCGCAGAATAGCCTGCATGAGTCAAATAAGTGTGATACTTACTACATAAGATTAGGGCAGAAATAAAGACTCTTTAGAAACTGCTGGACATTTGGTCTAACAGCATAGAAGATTTGTTGCCTCAAGTTTTGGACATTATGGCACCAAAATGACCAGAAATATAATGTCACTGGGAGAAACAGGCAGAGTTTTAAACGTTGCTTTGTCTTCCAGGCTTGTTTCAAAATCATGCGGATGATAACAATTCAGTATGATTAAAAGCCTGTTGCAGAACAGGGTTCGGATGTTTCCCGGGAGTTTCCTAACTCCCCCACCTCTTATGAACTTACTGCTCAACAAAAATACATCCACAGGCTCATCATAATTACCCCTACAAGAAATTCTGGAATCTTCTCTCAGAAAAAAAAAACACTACAATGAAAAAATACAATGACAGTCATGTACTCGATTACATGGCATCTCAAAAGCTCTCGGAGCCTTACTGTACCTGAAGCAGAGGAAGAGCAAAGAGACCACCTGGGCAGGCTTTGTGCAACGGTCTGAGTCTAAGATAGTCAGCAGCAAGCTGGGAGAGCCACAGCTTCCTCAGGGGAAGGTGATTGGCAGGTGCTGGGAATGGTTACAGGTTGATCTGAGGTGTCCTGCCTCAAGTAGTCTGCGGGTAGCCCGGCTCCTACTAACAGCTGGCCTGGATGCCCTGGGTCTTTCAGGAGCCCAGGGGTGGGGCAGCTGCACCCGGAGTTCCCTGGGAACCAGAGGGTGGAGGAGGTGGAAATGGGGTTTGTGGGGTGGGGGTGGGGTGAGGGTGAAGGTGAGGGTGGGGGTTGTGGGTGGGTCGGTGGGTGTTAGGACCTGGGTTCTGCCTTGCCTTTCCCTCCAGGCATGACGCCTATTTTTGTTCTCTAGCATCTATTTGATTACCATCAAATAATGTCATTGTAAAAGTTACTTTCACTAAACATTTAAAGAAAAAAAAAAACCTTTTACCTTTGGAGCTATAATTGAGTGGTTATGATTAAAGAAATTACGACTCAGCCCCTGGGATTAATGATACCTGTGGAGCATAGTAACCACGTCAAGAACAACGAGGTATTTGATTCATGGGGATTTTTGGTGCTCTGACATTTTTCCTTCCTGTTGTTCATAACGAGACCGACTGCACATGCATTTATTTTGCTCTTTGTAAATCGGAAGTACTGAACTAACATTCTCCTAAACCTGTGAAAGCTTTGAGTTGAGAGGTTACTTTGTGTAAAGGGGCATTATGGGTTCTCCTCTTTAATTCTGAAAGAATCTTACATTTTCTAAGCAAAAAATTTGCTGAGACGGAATGCAGGATGCAGTAATGCTGAAACCTGCATCCTCTCCCTGGCCCTCTATCTGCTTTGTCTTGAATCTCATGCTATGCTATGATGCCTGGACCTAAGTGCTGTTGAACAATCCCTTCCCTCTGTGTGGGCACTAGCTTATTTTCACAGCCAAACACAGTTACTGTTATCAACACACCACAGCAGGGCCTGTTTGCCCTTCACCTCCAAAAAAGCATTAATGAAATGTGATAAACCAGAGTCAATCATAATTCACCTCTGGAAAGTTTAATAGATATGGGTTGCACAAATATCAGAACAACAGTTAGCCTAACACTTAAGCGTAGACATTCTTTAGGATTTTAACCTTGAGTCCTGAAAGAAGTTAGATAAGACAAGATGCCTAAGATTTTCATATGAAAGAGTAGGTGCATATTTTCTTTATAACCTTTGAAAACAACCAAGTTCTACTTTATTATTCATATTGTTCTGTAACTAGCCGGCAGGGTGAGACTGTGCATTACTCAGATCTCTATGGCAGTAGTTCTCAAACTTTAACATACATCAGATTCACCTGGAAAGCTTGTTCAAACATGTGACTGGGTACAACTCCGAAGTTGTGATTTAGGAGGTCTGGAGTAGGAGCCTGAGAGTTTTTATTTCCTTACTATTTCTCACTCTTTAAAAAATTAACAAATAAAAGTATATGGATTTTTTTTATGTACAACATTTTGTTTTCAAATATGTATACCTGAGAATTTTCCTTTGAAGTTCCCATTAGTGCCCATGCTACTGATCCAGGGACCACCCTTTGAGAATTACCATATTAAGGAAATGGTATGAAATTCTGGCTGTTTGCATATCATACTCTTCTGGTTAAATTTCACTTACTAAAGCATTATGTGATGTGGACTGCATTGAAGATGCTTTTTATTGTGAGTTGGCACTGGTGTAAACAGCACTGGAAATGACATTGGCTCCATTGACATCAACACTGATAAACTTAAGGGCTCCATTTGTCCCTGTAGGAAACCTGGATAAACCAAGACAGAAAGGCTTGATTCTACAGAGGCTGCAGGTATGTGGCATGTTTGTGTTCTTATTGGATGACAGAGGTGTCATATAAATCCCTTCCTTAGCTCTTAGATAAGAGAATCTGTTTCCCTTGCACAGTGGTAAGGCTTTCCTTCACATTTTTGTTTGGGGTTTGTATGAGACATGGCAGGCACCTAGGGAGGTCTTGCTGTCTGTGTGCTCTCATAGATGCAGCAAATTACACATTTCCACAGGCTCGATTGACTCGACTTGAGGGGGGGCTGCATTTCCACACAGTGTGCTATGCTTTCCTGGGCATAGAAACAGCTCTGTACACCTCCCACTTTTTAGTTTTTGTAAGAGGAGATTGATTTCCCTGTGAGTGTGTGTGTGTTTAAGAAAAATCTCCAACACCTTAATTGCAGGTTCCTTAATGACATTGTATGAAAACACTTGTAGCTTACAAGCATTTTGAGATGTAGGTCCTTCGAGTATCTCTTATACAGGAAGGTTTCCAGCCCTTTCTCATTTACTCTGCTTAACTCAGATGCAATTCATTTCCCATCTGTGCTACAAGTTTCCTGTTGAAGTGTCTAAAAATTTCTGGATGAAAAAAACATAGTAAGACTATGTGTTCAGCTGTACTGATGTTCTGTGATATGCACATTTTATTTTTATGTCTGGAGCACTATGTGGAGAGGGCACACTTATTAAAAGAGCTCACTTGATAGTATAGAGATATAAAATGATAGAGGTTTATTATTTAGAAGTCAGTGAAGGACCAACTCACAAATCTGAAGTTCAAGGGCATTATTTATACTCTTCCAGTCTTCACAGCCCAGCTCCTCTCCTCTGATATGTTTGAAGGAGGGCATGGATCTGCCATTATGTTTTTGAGGGCTGCAGATGTCTCCTCCACACACGTGTGATTTCCCTTAGTAACCAAGGAGCATATCATCACCAGGCACAATGACTGACATAGAATAGGTGACTTAGAGTGATTTATCAATGAGCAAATAAGTATCATCCAAAAATGTAGTTGAGCCCTTCCTTTTTTTAAATTTTATTTTGAAAGTGGTAAAATACAACAGAACAAGACAGAATAAAGCCAACTAAGATCGTACAGTGAAATTGGTACAGAACTTCACTGCAGGTTACTGGGATAACAGTAATAGGTATCGCAGTATATTTCGTTATCTTTATAATAGTTGTTCTTTCAATCACGTATATCAAAATGAGATGAACTACAGAACATTATAGAACTTATCAAAACAGAATATTGAATACAGCAGTACCATTAATCAGAATAGAGCAAAACAGTAATAAAAATATTTGCCTTCAAAGAGATGGTAGAAGGAAATCCCCCTTATTTGCTATGGTCAACCTCCCAGGAGATGCTCAGATTTCTGGTTCCCATTTGCTAATGCGGGGGGGGGGGGGGCAGGATAAGGGGGCTGGAGGAAGTGGGATGTTTGACTCTAGGCCGTGCAGCAGTAGGTTCACTATTGCTTAGCAGGGAGGCAGGCTGATTGCTTGGTTTCCTAGCTTCGTAAGTTCCAACATGGTGTGGATCTCAGAAGACACTGGTGGTTCTCCTCCTGGAGGGGCCATAGTGTGCCACACTGCAGCCACTTACCAGGGAGGGGAGCAGCTTGCTTGGTTTCCCAGTGTCCTAAGTTCCAACATGGCGTGGATCTCAGGAGCTGCTGGTGGTTCTCCCCCTGGAGGGGCGGCAGTTTGCCACACTGCCACTGCTTACAAGGGAGAGGAGGTGCTTGCTTTAGTTGAGCCCTTCTTAAACTTAGAAATATATTCAATCTCTTATACTATGTGTTCATGTGAGATTCATAAATTTATTTCCT